TTCTAGATGTATGTCACCTTGAGGACTAGAGTGCACCTAACCCAAGCCGTGGTATTTTCATAGGCATGTGAAAGCTGGACAATGAGTAAGGAAGACTAAAGAAGAATTGATGCCTTTCAATGATGGTGTTGCCGAAGAATATTAAGTGTACCATGGACAATCAGAAGAACAAACAAATCTGTGTTGTAAGAAGCACAGCCACAATGTTCCTTAGAAGCAAGGATGGCAAGATTTGGTTTCATGTACTTTGGACATGTTATCAGGAGGGACTAGTCCCTTGAGAAGGACATCCTGCTTGGTAAGGCCAAGGGTCAGCAAAAAAGAGGAAGACCTTCAAAGAGATGGACTGACACAGTGGCTATAACATTGGGCTCAAACATAACAATGATTTGTGAGGATGTTGCAGGACTAGGCAATGTTTTGTTCTGTTGTGCATGAGGTCTCAATGAGTTGGAATAGACTCAAGGACACCTACCAACAACAACGGATGTATGGGAAAATGAAACCCCTGTGGTTCTGGGTGATAGAAGCTCAGCAGGCTCTCATACACCATGGAGCCATGGCAGGGACCTCATCTTTACTGGTGTGTTAGATGCCCAGAGCAAGGGGTCTGCACACTCAAAAGTGGGCTTTTTAAGAGGGCTTGTGCTGGAGAAGGCTGCCTCATCTCTTTGCAGAGCTACAAGTGGGAACAGAAGTGTCTGAGAAAGCGCATCAATCCAAAACTACATTCTTGAAAACACTGACCCAGTCACTCTGAGAGACAAACTCTCAAAAGTGCCATGGAGTTAAAGGCAAGCTGAGAGTAGTGGGAGACAGGCCCCAAGTCATGAGTCAAAAGGTTGGAGGAAGCTCAGGCACAGCCAAGAAAAGAATAAACCCTTCTGGGACCCAGGGAGACTGACAAAACATGGCCCAAGTCCGAGTTCAATGTCAGGGTCCCATGCAGGCCCCCAGAAGACGGCTAAGAATGACAGGTGCATCCACCTGCCCAATGTTCCCAGCACCTTTCCACCTGGGCTAAAGAGAGGAGCTGCTTGCAGGCCCAGCCCCGCACCCAGGGCAAGGGGAGAGGTGTGCACTTTCTGGCTTGTATACACACTGGTGCAAGTGTTTAATTGACAGGGCAGGGGACAAACCACCCAAGGCCAGGAGACAAGGATGACCTGAATGTTGTCTCAGTGCCAGCAGCATTGCTCCCACTCCAGGCGTGTAATTAAAAGCAGAGATCTGGTGCCTGGCAATTGATTCTCATTAACGCCTCCAGCTCACTTGCTGGGAGTGGTGGTGTCTGATTCATGCATCTCTTAATGCCACTGCCCCCAATTAAACCTTTGTCTGGAAGCATTTCCTCTCCAACAACCCTGCAGTTTCTCTGAGCCTCATCACTCAGGAATCATTCATCTCCGTCTACATGCGGGGTCCTGGCTGCCTGTCTCCAGCCTGAAACACACCTGTCCAGGAAACACAGGGAACCAGATGGAGACTTACATACCTGCCTTAGGGATAGCTGCTCAGGATGGGTCCCCATTATAAGTGAGGGCTTTAGGAAACACTGAGCATGTTCTCTGGGGCCTGTGTCCCACCTAGAGGCAGGAGCATTGGTGCCCATGCACCAGGAGCCCAGGGCACCTACTCACCTGGGTACAACTGTTTGGTGGGTGCGCTGAGCTGGGCATCTTTGCTGACTCGGTAGGCAATGTCGGGGCCTTTGGAAGATCTCCGTGTTGCACAGAAACCTGTTGTCTTTGTTATTCCATCAGGCAAATTGTGAAAATCTAGAACCTTCAGGAGATCTGCTGGCTGAGCTGAAATGAGAAGTGAGAGAGGCACAATTAGCGACAGAGAGGAAAAGTAGGGCTCTGCTCAATGGAAGCACCCCAGAGCACCAGGAATTGAAGTCCTGCCCTCACCACTCCCACCTCTTCACACTTCTGAGCCTTAGACTGTGCTGGGGACACAGCTCAGACCCAAAGCGCTGCACAGAGGCCAGGCCATCGTGCTGTGGAGAATCCAAACAAAGCTCACCGCCATTTGCTACTGTCGGCCCAGCCAGTCCTTGTGGGCTCTACCCTGGCTGTTTCTACTTTTGTTGCTTTAGACTTCTATTGCTCTTTCCCACCACCTGTCTGTCAGGTTCATGGTGCTCTGGTGGCCTAGTGGGTAGACATTTGGCTGCTAACCAGAACGTTCAAATCCACCAACTGTTCCTCGGGAGGAAGATGAGGCAATCTACTTCTGTAAAGATTTACAGCCTTGGAAACCCAATGGGCATCACTATGAGTCAGAATCCACTCAGTGGCAGTGGGTTTGGTTTTTTTTTTTTTTTTTTGGTCTGTCAGTTGCTGGTGGCCTGCATGTCCTGGGATGCTGGAAGCTATGCCTCTAGTATTTCAAATACTAGCAGGGTCACTCATAGCAGACAGGTTTCAGTGTAGCTTCTGGACAAAGACTAAGAAGAAAGACGTGGTGATCTACTTGCAAAACTCAGCCAATGAAAACTCTGTGGATCACAACAGAACACAGTCCTGCTGGAAAATGAGCCCCAAGGATGGAAGTCACTCAAAATAAATGGCAACTGCAACTATGGACTCCAGCACACCAAAGATCGCAAAGACAGTGCAGGATCGAGCAACCTTTTATCCTGCTGTCCGTGGGGTCGCCATGAGTTGGAGTTGACTCAACAGCAACTAACAATTGTTCTTTCATGCTCAAGCTCTCAACAGCTGCCCAGGAGAAGGTTAAATGCCGGCCAGTCCATGGCCCGCCCATTCTCGTTAGTCACATAAGGAAAAAAGGTCCCCAACATATAACCTTGTTTTTGTTGTTATTGTTGGTTGCCGAGTCGATTCTGATTCATGGTGACCCATATGTTACAAAGTAGAACTGCTCTGTGGGGTTTTCTTGGCTGTAGTCTTAAAGGAAGTAGATCATCAAGCCTTTCACAGCACCACTGGGCAGGTTCAAACTACCGACCTTCAGGTTAACAGTTGAGCACAAAGCATTTGCACCACCCCAACGTCTGCAAAACCCCACTGCTGACGGGGCCATCTTTACAAAGTGCTGTTAGGAAATGGGAGTGGCTGATAGCAAGCAAAGAGGCTGGAAGGTGCTTTGTAAAACTGCTTAAATTTCTGGAGTAACTGCATGTCCCATGTCACTTCGAAGAGGACAACAGGGGACACCATTGGCATAGTTTATCTCCCATTGCGAGTAGAGGAAAATGCAATTTTCCCAATGACAGTTCACAACAAAAACCATTTCCATTTCCCTCCAGAAAATCTATGCCTATATCACAAGATAAGGCAGAACCAAGGGCAAGGACACAGAGGTCCTTTTGCCATGGAAGGTTCTGACCCTCAGTCAGGTCATGGCCCTGCAGGGCTCTTCCAAGCAGGGTGGCAGCAGCAGAAGGCAGAGAAGTAGCCAGCTGACACAAGGTCATGGCAGGAGAGTTCTACCAGTAACCAGCTGCCTTCAAGTTGGCTGTAACCCATGGCGCCCCCACGTATGTCAGAGCAGAACTGCTCTCCGTAGGGTTTTCGGTGGCTGAGCTTTTGGAAATCGATCACCAGGTCTTTCTTCCTAGGCGCCTCTGGTTGGACTCAAACTTCCAAACTTCAGGTTAGCAGCTGAGCATGTTAACCATTTTCACCAGCCAAAGACTCAACAGTTCCCCAAAACACAAAAGATAGCTTCCATCTGCCTGTGGTCCCTGCACTGACATGAAGACCCAGACCTCCAGCCTTTGTTGGTGGCACCAACCCTAAAAGAAGCCAGTTTTGTGTGGAAAGTTCACCTCGTGTTCCTACAAACAAGAGGCCCCCTTGGAGTCTAGGTAGAGAAAAATTCCAACTCTGTGTCAAAGAGGTACAGCAAATGTACAGTTGGAGCACCACCCTGCCTGTGGATTTAGGGAGCCCAGAGGCTAGCACTGCCCTACCTACACTGGGTGTGGGGAGGACTGGCCATGCCCCTCACAGGCAAGGAGGGGCACGTTAACCCACCTGGCCGATCAGAGCATGACACCTCAATGCCCTAGGGGACTGGTTTAGGAATGGGCACTAACAAGGCCAGGTCAATGAAACCCCACCCTGAGGCCTTTTCCTTTGGGCAAGATGGTCCTCTCTGTTTGGCTGCCAGGCACATGGCCATGAACCTGGAGCTTCAGACAGTTACTTCTACCTGGTGTGAGTGTGGGGAGTGACCATCTGAGAATGTGAGCCCAGGATGTAGAGACAGATTTTGGCCACACGTCTGACTGAGCTCCTAGATCAAGCTATATCTGAAGCCCTTCATTTTTATACTTATTCCAGTTTGAGTTAGGTTTCTGACACTTGTACTGAAAAGTCAGCACTGGTTGCTGGGTGAAATAGCAGGGCGAACAGGCTCTTTGGCTCTCCTTAATTATTCAGTGTCATCGCTAACTGAGTAGGCTCCTGACTAGGACCCCAGAAGTAGGGTGTTGACTTACTTTTAACACATGCTTAGGAGTTGTTCAGGAAGAAAGTCCCATTTTTTATAACAAGAGTGAGAGACCTGGAGGTAAGAAGGAACCCAATGCTGGTTCCCCTTCACAGGCTTCTGGGGTATCCTAAAGCCAGTTGCAGCTGCAGGGCCTCAGTGCCACCACCAGCGAGGGTAGGAATAGGATGACCATGTAGCTGCCCTGCTCACCCAGCCAAGCCTTATCAAGTAGACTATGCCACAGGAGCCCTGTCCCCAGGAAGGGCACCTGGACAGTGAGCATGGTATGTGGGGCCAGGGAGATTCAGAGAGTGCCCTGGGGAGTAGTCAGGGTTGGAGGACTACAGCCTGAGTCAGGCTCCAAAGGAGACCCTGGGGACAGAGAGAAGTCATCAGCATGTCCCCCAGCCCACACCCTCTGGGAAGATACTGTACAGCTCTTCTCCAGAGTTGCTGGGTTCCTACTCCAGCAGTGCCATTTCTACCTTGGCCTTGCTACCCACCTTCTGCCAGTTCAATCAAGAGACCAGACACCTCAGGCTGGGATCTCCTGATCCATGCATAAACCTTAATGGGGGCAGAGGTTGGGGGTAGGGACTCCAGGCACTGCCAGTGGGACTTGCTCCCTCACTGACAGAGCTGCTTCTTCTCATTGCCCCTCTGACCAGGGTGGCAGTCCCTCACACATATGTGCCCCCACAAATCCCTCCCAGATGCTTGTCTACTTTAAGTTGGACACAAAGCCCATCACAAGTGCCTGGCAGGCTACATGGTGCAGCCCTAGGCCTGGACTCTGCCAGTGGGAACAGCCGGCTGTGCTGGTGCCAGCTCACCTGCCGGAGAGGACGTGGCACCAAGCCCTGGCTCATCTCTGAGATATGATGCCAAGTCCAGCGGTGACCAGGAAGGGAGTAAGGACCTGCAGGCTCTGGGATTCCCATCATAGCAAGCCAGCAATGCTCTTCCCAGACCCACAAGCCTAGGGACCTGTTTTCTCCATTGCTACAGGGCAGAGCTGTCTGCCAGCAGCCAGTGGACATGTTTATAGACTTGTTACAACATGTAGAAGAGGTCACCAGCCCTTTCCCAGGCCCAGTGCCACCCTTCCAGCCAGCCAGGGTCTTCCTGTGCCAGAGCTAGAAAAATGTTTGATATTTGAAGGTGTGCAAGGGCCTGAGAGGGATCTGGCCAGCCTAGGCGTCCGTGAGCTTTCTGTCCTGTGGACACAGAGCCCTCCGCTCTAACAGCAATTTCTTGACAAACCCAGAGCTTCAGTTTCCTTACTAGGGAAAAAACACCACGGAGAAACAGCACTAATTTTGGAGACATCCAGGTAGGGGTGTGAAACCCAAATTACTAGCTGTAGAAGATCTTGGCCCACCACCTTGTGTGCAGTTCAGGCACACAAGCTGGGAGAAATACTGCACTGAGCACAGGCCCAGTCTTCCATCCCACCACTCTGTGAGCACTGTCCAACTTTGTCCCTTTCCCCATCAACACTGAGAAACAGAACACTACCACTGGTTTCCCTGGGCTTCTCCAGGCCCCCAGCTATTCAGAGAAGACAGAAATGGAATAGACTATGTGGTATTGGCACCAACAAGAGTATCTGTGTTGGTGAATGTCACAGCCGTGTTAGACGGGCTCGTAAGCCCAAAGACACCCCTCACTGCCGTCGAGTCTGATCAGACTCATAGCAACCCTTCCTTGGGTTTCCGAGGCAGTATCACTACAGAAGTAGATTGCCCAATCTTTCTTCCGAGGAGTGGCTAGTGGGTTTGAACCGCCAGCCTTCTGGATAGCAGTCAAATGCCTTAGACACTATGCTACCAGAGCTAAGAAGGCACCTGTAAAAGCCATGAACAAAGCTTTGAGCTTCCACATCACCTCACTATGACCTGGCTCAGCCACGATACCCATGCGATGGGATCAAAGAGACCCAGAAAAGGGGCAGCAGGGGACACCAGGCCCAGGCTCCCTGGAACTCCAGCCCACTCTCTTCCCACCACAGAGTCCTGTGCTGTAGTACAGATTGCTGGTGCTCACTGGGAAGGTCCAGGATGAAAGTCAGATACCACCCATCAGGAGATAGAAGCCTCTTTCCCTCCAGAGTGCTCCCTGCTGGTTACAGGGTCTTGGGCACAAGGCAAGTAGGCCATCGTGGGTCAGGACCTGCATCCCAAGGCCTGGGACCAGCTTCCTCGGGATCTGTGGTACCTGCATCAGCTCCTGGAAGTCTGCACGGCAGCCTCCTAGCGGCAGTGTGAACTTGAACATATGTATCCAGTGTAGCCTCTTGACCCCTAGCCTGCCAGCTCTTCCAAGGCTGCATAAGTCTGTG